GAAATGAGGTTTTCATTTTCCAAGTAATTCACCAACTCTCACCTGTCACTCCTCTCTCATCTACCCATCCATAAAAATGGATAAGTATAATATTTATTAAGTTGAAAACTAAATTAATCAAACACATATAATCAATAATTTTCATACAAATAAGTTCCAAGCGCACCCTTAATGTTTTTAAATTTTTTAGAAAATAAAGATTACCCCTAATTTTTATACGAGAAAAGTATTATTTTCATCACAGAGTCCGAACGCATTTGACATATACTCTATACAACATTTTAGAGAATAATTAATAAGAATTTTTTTTCTTTTAATTATGTTAATATTTTATGATTCAATGTATCGAATATATTATAAACAAATTATTTTACATTTTGTAGAGCAGGCAAGATTTCTGCTAGACAAATAAAAGATTTTAAGTCAATTAAGTACCTATTATTTCTTGAAAGTTGGGTAGTCCAAGATTGAATTCATTTGATTGTCGACTCGAAATTACGGCAAATTAAGAGTTCTACTCCTCACAAATGGACATTCACAAATGGGCTTAATATATCTAAAGCTGCACCTGTACCTCAATTAAGAGTCCTGTCCACTCCTTAAAAAGAGATTAAAGGCCTAATTAACATGTTTTTGGAAAATTCAAAAGCTGCTTTTGAAATTAAGAGGTTGCTCTTAAACACGTTTCAATAATTTTTTGAAAATACTTTATTTGATTTAAAAAGTTTTTAGAAAAAACTAGTTTAAGGTAACTTTATCATGAATATCTTTTTACAAGAAACATGACCCAACCAATCGAGTCCTAATTAACTTTAATTTGCGCAAGACAAAATTTAGCCCCTATTTGGAAGATATCCTATAAACACTAATACCATGTAGCCCCAATTTTGAGCTATACATTCTCCCAATAAAATAATTTTACATTTAAAAAAAAATATTTTCACAAAATTGTTTACATCAAAAGTGCCCTTAAATATGACAATTAAGGACAACCCACGAATGTGGCCAGTTACGGTTCATATTCATGCTATCAAATTTTGCATTTAATAAATAGTTATTAATGGAAACAATTAATATTATAAAGACATTTAATAAATAGTTATTAATGGAAACAATTAATATTATAAAGACATTTAATAAATAGTTATTAATGGAAACAATTAATATTATAAAAACTTATGGCATATCTACTACTTGAATCCGACCATTCGTCTTTACAGCACGTTTGGTAACGTATATAAGCTGCATATTTAGTAAAACATGGTCATTAACCCAAATATGGCTCTCAAAAACCTTGTAACAGTTTGCTTCTCAATTCTCCTCATCAAGATTGTCACCACCCATCCACTTCCGCCATTCTCTTGTGACACCACAAATCCATTAACCAAATCATTCACATTTTGCAACACCTCATTACCAATAGATCAACGCGTCGACGACTTGGTGTCACGTCTCACATTGGATGAGAAAATATCTCAGCTAGCTAATAAGGCGTACGCCATCCCTCGCCTCGGGATCCCGTACTACCAATGGTGGTCGGAGGCTTTGCACGGTGTTGCCGCTGCTTATCGAGTCCAAAATGGGATCATGTTCAACGGGACTATTCGAGCAGCCACCAGTTTTCCTCAAGTAATTCTTACTGCCGCTACATTTGATGACGTTTTGTGGTATCGTATAGCTAAGGTAATTAGTACAGAAGCAAGGGCAATATACAATGAAGGAGAAGCAATAGGAATGACATTTTTTGCCCCCAACATAAATATTTTTAGGGACCCTAGGTGGGGTAGAGGGCAAGAAACCCCTGGAGAAGACCCTTTGGTTACTGGAGTATATGCAAGGTCGTTTGTTAGAGGACTTCAAGGGGATATTTATGAAGGTGGTAACCTCGAATATCAGTACCTTAAAGTTTCTGCATGCTGTAAGCATTTGGCTGCATATGATTTGGAAAAATGGAATGGAAGTGTTCGTTTCACCTTCGATGCTCATGTAAGCCACTTGCTCAACTGGTACCATGTTTAGTTGTGTTAAAAGTTACTTTTTAAGCAAAGTCGATAACGTCCTTAATAGGATACATTACTCATTTGTATATTTCTTTGTGTTTGGCGAGGTTGAATAGGTGACGAAGCAAGATATGGCAGATATGTACCAGCCACCCTTCAGAAGCTGTGTCCAGGACGGTCAAGCAAGCGGGATAATGTGTGGTTACAATCTCGTTAATGGCGTCCGGAGCTGTGCTGATTACGATCTCTTAACGAAAACTGCTAGAGGAGAATGGGGTTTCAAGGGGTAAACTTTTTATTATTCAATAGTTTATTTAGAAGAAATTTGGCCTTTCTTGGTGTTTCTAACTTAATTGAGAATGATCAGGTACATAACATCAGATTATGACGTACCGCGATTTATCTATGAGACACAAACGTCCTTAAAATTGCCTGAAGACGTTGTAGCTGATGTTCTTAAAGCCGGTACGATGGATTGGTTTTGAGTATCTTGCTATTATTCGATAACTTGTCCAACAATATTTTTTCCAAAAGAATGAAAATTTTTAATTTACAGGAATGGATCTTGATTGTGGAACGTTTTTCGTTAAGAACAATACAAAATCAGCAATTGAGACAGGAAAAGTATCTGAATCTGATGTAGACAGAGCCATTCACAACCTCTTTTCTGTTAGAATGAGATTAGGTCTCTTCAATGGCGATCCAAGGAAACAAACTTGGGGTGAAATAGGACGAGATCAAATTTGTTCGAAGGAGCACCAGGATTTGGCACTTAAAGCTGCTCGGAGTGGGATCGTCCTTCTTAAGAACACGGCCAAGCACCTTCCTTTTTCAAAGGCCAAAACGAAGTCTCTAGCAATAATAGGCCCCAATGCCAATAATTCGAAAACACTTATCGGAAATTATGCAGGCCCCCCTTGCGAAACCATTACTCCCCTAGAAGGGCTTTCAAGTTTTGTCAAGAACATTAAGTTCCATCAGGGCTGCCTATATACAAATTGCACTTCCATTTCCACCGACGAAGTTGTGACAATCGCGAAATCTGTAGATCATGTGGTGTTGGTAATGGGACTCAGTCAAGATCAAGAAAGGGAAAATGTTGATCGTGATGAACTTGTGCTCCCCGGTGAGCAAATGAGTCTTATAACAAGCGTAGCCAAGGCGGCTAAAAAGCCAGTTGTACTAGTACTACTTTGTGGAGGTCCGGTTGACATTTCTTTCGCCAAGAACGATCCAAAAATTGGAAGTATTTTGTGGGCAGGATATCCCGGAGGAGCAGGAGGCCAAGCAATTGCAGATATTATATTCGGTCAATATAATCCAGGTGGAATTTATTGGCAAAACTTTAGTCATTCCCTTCAAGTTAAAACCAAAGCCACTGAAAAGATTTTAGTTAACATGCAATTCGTACTCTTTTTTTTTTTCCCCTTGCAGGAGGGCGATTGCCTATGACTTGGTATCCAAAAGATTTCGTCGAAATACCAATGACAGATATGAGGTTGCGGTCTGATCCAGCCTCGGGCTATCCAGGGCGAACTTACAGATTTTATAACGGGGAAAAGGTATACGAATTTGGACATGGACTTAGCTACACAAGGTATAGTTACAAGTTTGTTAATGCCGTCCCAAACAAACTCGTTTTCAAGAATCTGTCGACTACAGTCAAGGCCAAAAACTCGGGTTACATTCCAGTCTCTAATATAGGTACAGAATCATGTGCCAAGTCATTGTTTTCTGTCGTCGTTAGAGTGAAAAATCATGGGAAGATGTGGGGTAGTCATCCGGTTTTGCTGTTTTTAAAGCGAGAAAAGGCCAATAATGGGAGTCCATTGAAACAATTGCTAGGATTTAAAACAGTGCAATTGGATCCAAAAGCAAAAGTTGAAGTTGAATATCCATTGAATCCATGTGGGGATTTCAGCAGAGCTGATGAAAATGGAGAAATGGTGATTGATGAAGGGACTCATTACTTAACAGTGGGAGATGAAGAACATTCTATTATCATTAATATTTGATAGAAAACCAGCAAATCTCTTGCTTCTTGGTTTGAGACAAGCATTTCAAAGGTGCAATAAAAGGAATTATGTTGTGTTAATACCATGGATTCACTGCATCTAACTATTTATATTTTCAACACCCTTGACTGAAATTTCATGGAAACGATACACAAAATTGCATTTTCAAATGAATGCGTTTTTGTACAAATGAATTCTTGAACAAACTTGTACAATTACAAGGTCCGAACACAATAATCAAGCACTGTTTACTTCCTGAAATATATTTGGACGAAATTATGATCATGTTTGGCCCCCATTTCTCAAAGATTCATTTTTCTCCAATCTTATTTTTAATCACATATTTTTTGTGACTTACAAGTTTTATAAAATTTTCAATCACATATTTCATCAATTTTTATCAAATTTGATTTTTATTATCAAAATAAAAAGGGGGCCAAAATAACAACCTAGTACATACAATTTTTGCAATAAATTGATAAGCAACAAAACTAATAACTTATAGTTCCCTCCCTATTTTCTTTTCCCTTTTCCAATTTTGAGCCCTCCACGTGCTTAAAGCACTATTTTGAGATAAAATAGGTGTTATATTTATAAAATTTCTTTGTCGGTTGAAATTTCATTATCAATTACCTATATATTTTTTTTCTTTGTCTATTTTTCGATTAATAGTAGTTATATTTTACAATGGTAAAAAATAAATATGACATGTCTCTTTTGGATAATTAGCAAAATTGGTTTTTAATTATTAAAATAAATCATTATGACACTTTGTGAGCTGTCTCTTTAATCTAATTGAAATATTAAAAAAAATATCCATCATTCTCGTGTGCATTTTAACGTCTCTAAACTTTGAACACGTTTCTCAAGATTTCTAAAACGTCAAATATTACATTTGAAATTAAAAATTACTTTTGAACGTATTTGAATAATTTTTTAAAAATGTTTGTAACTTGTCTAAGGTATCTTTCTCATAAAACTCTTGTACAAATTTGACACTTCGTAAAGATACACAAGGATGATGTCATTAGACACCAATCCATTTAAAAGTTCAGCCAAACCGGCAAGAATTGGCCTCATGTAATGCACTAGTTCCTTTACTCCTATTCTCACAATCATTATGGCTCTCATGAACCTTATAATACTTTGCTTTTCATTGCTCCTCATCAAGATTGAATCCACACAGCCACTTCCTCCATTTTCATGTGACTCCACAAATCCATCAACCAATTCATTTCCATTCTGCAACACTTCACTGCAAATCAGCCAACGCGTGCAAGACTTGGTGGCACGTCTCACATTGGATGAAAAGATCTCTCAGCTTGTCAACAAGGCTTCGGCCGTCCGCCGCCTCGGCATCCCCTACTACCAGTGGTGGTCCGAGGCTTTGCACGGTGTAGCAGTAGCGACCGGGGTCGAAAATGGTGTTATGTTCAACGGGAGTATTCGAGCAGCCACCAGCTTTCCTCAAGTCATTCTTACTGCTGCTACTTTTGATGCAAATCTGTGGTACCGTATGGCTAAGGTTAGTCAATCTCTAAGCATTATCATAACATTTCGTGTTTGTTTTCTTGGATTTATTTTATGTGAATTATTAGTTTAAGATGAGAGATTTTTAAGTCAACCAATGGGACCAGGATACTATGTACAGACAGTTTAGTATTGGTCCAATTTTGTCTTGGAGTTTCAAAAGTTGTTTAATTTATTATATTTTGTCTAGATGCATGGGATTCAATTTAAATTATGTACCTATCGAGTCGCAGACTGGACTGGTGCACCAATCTCAATTCAAATTAAGAAGATAACAAAATATGCGCTCACTTGTCTCAGTTCAAATATTTAATAAATGTTTTCTTTTAAGTCTTTCTTACGTATAAACTGATTGCGTAGAAAATCTGTCACTAGTTTTCCCAGAAAAAACTTTAAAGTTTATGGCTCTTCTGTAATAGAATTCAAAACTACTATTCTAAGCTGTGGTGATGAGTTCAGAAAACCAGACATTTAACCTTCTTTGAATTTGACTGACAAAAATTGCTTTATTTGGTTTGGCATCAAAGGAAATGCCACCTGTATATGACGATGAACTGGTGATGTTCCGCATTCAGTTAGGAAAAAATTATTTTACTTAAATGAGCACTTGAATTTCTTGGCATCTAAGTTCCCATCTTTTAGTTATGTAACATTTTGGATTTTGATTGACGAATGTTTCATAGGTAATGAAAAATTGTTCTAATTGTTTTAATAAAAAATAAAAAAGAACATATAAGTGAAAAAAGTATCACCCCTTCCAGTTCCAGGTACTCTCCTCAGCACATATGCAAGGGAGGGGTACGGCAGAAAACTCGAGGAAATGGCTAGGTGGGGCGAGGCCGCGAGCAGACGGGCCTTTAAAAATTGGCTCGCATTTATGCTTGATGTTGTTTACAAATTTTCCATTGAATTTACAAAACTGGCAACCAAATGTGTTAAAACAATTTTGTACATGTTCTTATACAATGCGTGTTGGAATTGGTTAAGTATAAAACATGGGAAAAAGTGACTTTTGTGTCAACTTCGACTTCACTTTTGCATCCATTTCACTTGGCGTTGTCTTCAGTGGTGTTCTTTTCTTGTGATGTTTTTACTAATCATTTCCTTGCCGTTGCTCTGGTCAATTCACGGTAAGGGTGTAAATTTGATCTTTGCTTTTAAAGTCATCACTCCATTTTCCGACAATGCGTACCTATTTGAAGGTGATAGGAACAGAAGCAAGAGCAATATACAATGAAGGAGAAGCAATAGGAATGACATTTTGGTCCCCAAACATAAATATTTTTAGGGACCCCAGGTGGGGTAGAGGCCAAGAGACCCCTGGAGAAGACCCTTTGGTTACTGGAAAATATGCAGTATCATTTGTTAGAGGAATTCAAGGAGATAGTTTTGAAGGCGGTGACCTTAAAGATGAACACCTTCAAGTTTCAGCATGTTGTAAGCATCTGACTGCATATGATTTGGATCACTGGAAGGGAATTGATCGTTTTACCTTCAATGCTATTGTAAGTCTCCAATCCATCTTTCACTTGCTCTAGCATTCATTTTATCATTTATCGAACTTTTTTGAGAAGTTGGTGTCATTATTTTCTATATGATCGCCATGAAAATTCTATGATCCAAATATGTATTCAGTGGAGATTTCTTGATTTGGCTAAATTCTCAGTTCAAGAATCCTGAATTTCGTTATCATGGATTGGAGTGGTTTAGAGCATGTTCGTTTGTGCTTATAAGTAGCTCAAAAGTTACCTTTCTTGGGACTATGTCTCTACATACATTCAAAAAGAGTAACGATTAAGTTAATTGTAAGCACAGCAACACTTGCTGTTAGTAGAATACAAACTCATTTGTATTAACTTTTCTGTTTTTGGGTGAGCTGAATAGGTTACGAAGCAGGATATGGCGGATACATACCAGCTACCTTTCCAACAATGTGTTCTAGAAGGGCGTGCCAGTGGGATAATGTGCGCTTACAATCGTGTTAATGGGGTTCCGAATTGTGCTGATTACAATCTCTTAACCAAAACTGCGCGTGGAGAATGGGGCTTCCAAGGGTAAAGTCAATAATTCGGAAAGTTTACATAGAAGAAATTTCCCCTTTAAGATATTGGTGATGTTTCTAACTCGATTTGAGAATGATTAGGTATATAACGTCAGACTGTGATGCTGTCAAAATCATTTATGAGAATCAAACTTATGTAAAATCGCCAGAAGATGCTGTGGCTGATGTTCTTAAAGCAGGTATGATAAACCCCTTTTAAATATGTTAACATTGATTGATGCAGATTATTGATTAACTTTTCTTAAAATACTTCCAAAAAAATGAAAATATAAATTACAGGAATGGATGTGAATTGTGGAGACTATTTGGTAAACCACACAAAATCTGCACTTGAGAAGGGAAAAGTATCAGAATATGATATTGACAGAGCCCTTAACAACCTCTTTGCTGTTAGAATGAGATTAGGCCTCTTCAACGGCAATCCAAGAAAGCGTCTTTATGGAAACCTAGGACGAAATGAAATTTGCACGCAGGCTCACCAGGATATGGCGCTTGAAGTTGCTAGAAATGGGATCGTCCTTCTTAAGAACTCAGCCAGGCTCCTTCCTCTATCGAAGGACAAAACGAAATCTCTTGCAGTAATAGGCCCCAATGCCAATGTTCCGAAAACACTTCGTGGAAATTATGCAGGGCCACCTTGCAAAGCCATCACTCCCCTAGTAGGACTTCAAGGATATGTCAAGAAAGTTAAGTTCCATGAGGGTTGCAAAACTACAAATTGCACTTCAATTGCTACCAAAAAAGTTGTGAAAATCGCAAAATCTGTTGATTATGTGGTGTTGGTTATGGGACTTAATCAAGATCAAGAAAGTGAAGATCTTGATCGTGAAGAACTTGTGCTTCCCGGTAAGCAAAAGAGCCTTATAACAAGCATAGCCAAGGCGGCTAAAAAGCCAGTTGTATTAGTGCTGCTTTGTGGAGGTCCAATTGACATATCTTTCGCCAAGAATGATCCAAAAATCGGAAGCATTTTGTGGGCTGGATACCCAGGAGAAGCAGGAGGCCAAGCAATTGCAGAAATTATATTTGGTGATCATAATCCAGGTGAAACTTATTAGCAACTCACTGTCGTTCTTTTCAAGTCAAAATAAAAATTTTAAATGCATGCTTGCTATGCAATATTAAACTGTAGTAAAATTATAATTTTTTTTCGTTTTTTTTTTTCCTTCTTAATGCTATCGAGTACTAATTGTTATAATGCATACTTTTCCTGCAGGAGGGCGGTTGCCTATGACTTGGTATCCAAAAGATTTTATCAAAATACCAATGACAGATATGAGGCTGCGGCCTGATCCATCATCAGGCTATCCAGGGCGAACTTACAGATTCTACAAGGGGAAAAAGGTATTCGAATTTGGATATGGACTTAGCTACTCAAAGTATTCTTACAAGTTTGTTTCGGCGGGACAAAACAAACTTGACTTCAAGAAACTGTCAACTACTGGTACTGTTGAAAACTCAGGTTACATTCCAGTTTCTGCTATAGATTCAGATTCCTGTAACAAGGCAAAGTTTACTGCCGTTGTTGGAGTGAAAAATCAGGGAAAAATGGTCGGTAAGCACCCGGTTTTGCTGTTTTTGAGGAGAGAAGAGGCCAGTTACGGGAGTCCAATGAAACAGTTGGTGGCATTTCAAACTGTGAGATTGAATCCGAAAGCAAAAGCTAATGTTGAATTTCAAGTGAATCCATGTGAGCATTTCAGCAGAGCCAATGAAGACGGATTGTTGGTGATTGAAGAAGGGACTCAATTCTTAGTTGTGGGAGACGAAGAGTATTCTATTAGTATTAATGTTTGATAAAACTATCAAATCTTTTCTTTATGGATTCACAGATGGAATAAAAAGAATTTGCAAGAATTACATCTAATGAATACTTCTTCCAAGCACGTGAATTTTCATGAATAGATAACTACGAGATTATATTGAACTATACACGTTTAACGAGCAATTTCCGAGAGTTAGTCTCTGATAGATTCAGCCCTTGAATATGACTGATTTCTCAAGACTTTAAAAAGACACTGGAAACAGAAAGGAAACTCTGTATTGATTTTGGAAAATGGAGTTACGAAACACGAAAGGAAAAAAATAAACAAACAGCCGTTCGAGAGGGCTATAACTCCCCACCCAATGATCTTACTCATTAAATTTGACACCCCCATCATCTCTCTCTCATTCTATTTATAGGCCCATGTAACAGATTTTGGCCATCCCACCCCACCCTTCAAACAGAATTAGTTACTGCCCCCTTTTCTTCATTCTTGTTGTTTCTTCTAGAATACGTATATTGAATTGGAGGCTTATTAATTATCCTGCCCAATTCAGCCACCTTGTCCTCAAGGTGGAAGGCAGGAAATTGTAGGCTGCATAGCTCCTTAAGTAGCTTCCAATGGAGATAGACCCTTCCACTGAATTAGCACTTCCAAACAACCTGTTGTCCCCAACGAAGCAGTCCAGACCCCCAGCACAGTTTCTAGTTCAACCATTAATTCCCAGTCAGCTCCCAAATTGACAGGTAGCGTAGAAGGTAAGTGATGTTCTCCCACCGCCTTATGCAATTGTGATACATGAAATACCGGATGAATATGGGTTCCCGGTGACAGCTCCAATCTATAAGCAACTTTCCCAACCTTAGCTAAAACCTTAAACGGCCCGTAGTACTATGCGAAAAGCTTCTCGTTGATACGATGCGCCAGAGATTCGTGGCGATAGGTTCGCATTTTCAAATAAACCCTGTCACAAGCTAGGAATTCAACCGCTCTCCTATGCTTATCAGCTGAATTCTTCATTTGCTGCTCTGCTCGGCCTAAATACAGCTTGAGCTCATCCAAAAGCTTATCCCTTTCTGTCAATTGCTGATCCAATGATGATACAAGTGTCGTCCATTTTTCAAAATGTAATAGAGGGGGAGGATCTCATCCATGAACTATGTGGAACGGAATGAGTTGTGCAGACACATGAGATAACGTGTTGTGAGATAATTCAGCACATGGAAGAAAGCGGAACCAGTCTTTCGGCCGAGCTGAAGTAAAACAACGTGGGTAGGTCTCTATCCCCTCTATTCACCACTTCTGTTTGGCCGTCGATTTGGGGATGATAGGCTGAACTAAATTTCAGTTTAGTCCCCTACAAACAAAATAGCTCACTCCAAAATTTGCTCATAAATACCGTATCCTTATCAGTTATGATTGATTTTAGTGTCCCATGCAAGCAAACCACTTCTTTGATGAACATTGCAGCTACGGATGGTATCGTGAATATATGTTTCAGGCCTATGAAGTGGCCATATTTGCTTAAGTGGTTGTCCACTACCAAAATTGAGTCAATCCCCTCTGGCTTTGGCAACCCTTCTATGAAGTCCATGGAGATGTCCTCCCATACTTTCTCCGGTATAGGTAGTGGCCGTAACGGCCACGCAGGTGCTAACGTGAAGTACTTGTGTTGTTGACAAATTTCGCAAGCAGCTACATATTTTCTAATAGCCTTCTTCATACCAATCCAATAGAAAGATCCAGCTACTCTCCTGTAAGTCTTAAGGAATTCCTCGTGACCGCCTATTTTACTGTCGTGGCCTTCGTGTAATGCTAGCAAAACAAATGGGAGAAGGATCCACCCTTATGGCCAATATAATCCTGCTCAGTTCGGGGTCTTCTTTTTCTACCTTTATCACTTCATCTAATTGTAATGTACTCGACATGCTAAGAGCCATTAATGTAGCCATGTCCTCTTTTAGGATAATGTATCTGCTGCTTTGTTCTCCAGCCTCGGGTTCTATTCAATATCTAAATCGAATCCCAACAACTTTGATAGCCACTTTTGATATTCCACATTTACCAAGCATTGTTTGAGGAGAAACTTAAGGCTCTTTTGGTCCGTCCTAACCACAAAATGCCTTCCCAGCAAATAATGCCTCCACTTTTGTACTGCCAGTATAATAGCCATGAGCTCACTCTCATATATCGACTTATTCTGACTCTTTTGTGGAAGTTCCTGACTGAAATTAGCAATTGGCTTTTGCTTTTGCATCAAGACAACCTCTAACCCATGCTCAGAAACATCAGCCTCAATTACAAAAGGTTGTGAAAAATCTAGAAGAGCTAATACCAATACTATCGTCATTACTTTCTGTTGGGTTTTTTGATACCCAATAAATCCCGAGCTATGATGTTAACGTGAGTTAATATTATTTCATAGGCATAGGTCGATGAATGAAATAAGTCCAACAACCAAGTCCATGAGCTACACCCGATCCAATTGTATTCCCTTATGGATGACTTAAATCTTGGCCCGTTTACTCCTTTAATGGTCCAACTTAAAGCCTAACCCTAGAGTATATATATGGCTATAGCCCTAGCCACTTTCTTATGATGTATTATGTGATTTTGAGAGAAGAAAAAGTGAATCTCGGCTGCCCCCTATGTGTGAGAAAAAAGGTCTCCAGAAGTATCCAGAATGCTTGTATAACGTGTGTAATTGGTGGTTCTTTCATAATATACCTTTGTGGTGTCTTTTCTTAGCCTTTGTGGCCACAAATCAGCATCTTTTCTTGTCCTACGTGGGTAAGATTGAGTAAAAATCGAGGTGAATCAATTGGTTATGGTTTGGAGTCGATTGGACTGATTGTTGGTTGAGAAAGGTGCGTTGGACTGAGCCCGAAAATCACTGATTTGAAGATCTTTCAAGAGAACTTCCGTAACAATTGGTATCAGAGCTTCAAGGTAGTGGTTTTGGCTCGTGAAACATACTAAAAAGTCCAGAAATCACAACAGAAATCAGATCGAAGAAGCTATCCAAAAACTGTCAAAATCAGTCTCCATTTTTCCCGTTTTCTGATCAATATAGAAAGAGTTTGGGAAAACGAGACCACTGACGTGACGTGCAAGTGGAGGCGAACCCTTCAGGGCAGCGCGTGTCGGTCGACGGAGGCGCGTGAGGCCCACACGCAGAGGAAAGAAGACGCACGTGAGGACATGTGGAGTGGAATTTCAAGGAGGTCCTTTCAAGTAGTTTGTTCCTCATATTATTTTTGACATTTTTCGTGTTGAAAATTTTCTATTTCAGGGTACACAGTAGAATCTGGACAACATTGTTCTTCGGACGTTCGGGACTCGATCGTAATTTTTTGGTTGTTGCAGTTTCCAGAGACTTTAGGACGAATAGTGGTGGTCCTAAAGTGATAAATTCGCAACTCTCATAATTTTCGGACTCAGATAGATCCGTTCTGGTAGATTGGCTTAACTCAGTTTAAATTTCGGCATTAGCAGATCATTGTGTGGGGTGATCGTTAGGATTGGAGGTTGTCATTGTTTGGCAACCATTGCTTGTGCTAGAAAAGTTTGGAATTACTTGCCCTATTTTTGAAGAGTTGAACTTTAATTGCAAGTTGGTAGTTGATTTGAGCTTATTTGTCATATAGTCACTGTGTGAGATTTGTTGTGTGAAAATTTGAAATTTTTGTTTATATACCTTCGTGTTTGCATTTATTATCCAATTAGAACACCTGAACTTGACCGGTTCAAACATTCTCTTGATCTAAGATCGTGAATTTTACGAAACCATGGGAATCTAGAACAGTGTATATTGTGACTTTAGGATTACTTTGTATGACCTATTTGTGACTTGATTGTTCTGTTTTTTATTTTCTCCTTAAAAATATCTTCACACTTTGAAATTGAAATTTTTAATGGGAAATGAAAATTTTCAATTTGGCAACAAAAGATGAAGGGTATTTTGGTCCAATAAAAAATTTCAAAGGCCATAGATGGCAAATTTTCTACAAATTTAACAGAAGTACAAAAAGAAGAGTATGATAAACTTGGATACACTTCAATTATTTTACACCTGTCTGATACCGTTTTGAGAAAAATAGGAAAACAGGATTCTACAAAACAACTTTGAAAAAAGTTGGAGGACTTATATTTGCTTAAGTCAACTCTTAATAAATTGTACTTACTTGAATGATTTTTCAACTTTAAAATGGATCCTTCAAAGGATTTTGATGACAATCTGGATGTCATTAACAAGTTAGTTCAAGACATCGTTAATTGTGATGAAGAGGTATCTAAAACGTATAAGACTATTATCCTTCTTAATTTCATGCCTGATTCATATAGGGAAGTTAAGAATGCAATTAAGTATGGTAGGGACACCTTGACATCCCAAATTGTCATAGACTCACTTAGGACTAAAAAGATGGAGATTAAGGCTGAAAAAGAGGATAAGAGGAGCGACAAGTTACATATGATGAGGAGTAGGATGAAGTTTAAGCAAATGAATTTGGGCATAACTCAAGACGGTAGTGATTCGAGTAGTGACTTGAGTTATGAGAGTAGTAAGAAGAAGGGCAAGGGACGAGACAAGTCTAGTGGTAGAAGGTGTTACAGTTGTAGTAAGTCTGGACACTTTATTAGGGACTGTCCCAAGAAAAAAGATAAGCTGAAAGGTAAGATGAGAGGTGAGACGAATTTGGTTGAAGGGTCGAGTTATGACCATAGTGAGGTTTATTAAGTGTGGACTTAGTCACTGCATATGCATTTGTGTGTGATCATTTTTCTGCATGTGTGTGATTGTCTAAATTTTGTTGCATGATTATCTGCTACGTCTCAATGTGTTTGATATGTGCATTTACATGAATTTGAGACATTAGGATTATTTGGTGTAAGTTCTTGTATGTATAGTGGGTTAGGATGTATAACCAGTGTGTTGTGTGTCTTTTGATAAGGTGGAGTATATATGCCTAGGGGTGCATGGTGGTTTGTACCGGGGATGTAGAGTGTGACATTTGGATCACGAGTGGAGATGTGATCAAATATCTAGAATCCTTTATCTGGAAAGAGACCCTGATCAGGTGGAGTGTGAGAGATGCACTTCTATGATTTCTGTTAGGTGG